CGATATGCGAATACAATTAAAAAGAAAAATGTTAGAGCGAGAAAGGCGCAGAGTAACGGTGTCGAGTGTATGTCGACACTTCCCTTAGCGTGGCTAATTATTAAGGATGTTTGCACCACCCAAGTTTAAAGTGTCAGGTATCAGTTCGAACTCGTAATCTCGTCGAGACACTATCGATTCGAGAGAAAGGAGACTACTGCGAAATACTATTTAAATGAAATCATCGTCTACAATTAGATTCAATTATTACTTATCCTTACGATTATTACGGATTAGCTATCCATGTTTCGAGAGTATGTTAAATATATAATTACAATGATTACTGTAAAATAATATGTAAAATTACATAAACAATAAATTCAAAATGTTATACATTTCTAATTTATTGTATAATTTTATGCTTATTACTCACATTTTATAATATTTTTTTACGGTGCATTCAATGCATATTCAATTTTTTATATTTATTGAAATATTATAATAGATATCTTAATATTTCTATTTTTTTTAGAATGACTAATATATATTGTAAATATATCTGTTTTAAATAAATATGTAGATATATTACTAACTTATAGAATTTATATTGATTTTATATAATATTATATTATTTACGTCAAAAATAATTAAAAAACAGAGACTTTGACATTAAATATCTTACTAACAAGAAATAGGCTATTAAATTTAACGAATAGACCTTTATGGCACTCGGTTGGATGTGTTCGAGTGACAAACTATCAAATATTTGGATATTGTGTAATACTATCGAGTAACTGTGATCAGATATTTTTTCTCAACTACAAGCTAGTACCGAAGAAAAATTGTTAACTATCGTGAGAATCACTAAAGTCATTAGAAGTTGTATGCATCTTTCAGCTTAATTTACTTTCTGATAATGATCCAAACTCAAACATACATTTATAAATTAATCAATAGATTATCATTAAAAGAAAAAGAATCTTCGCTAATCGCACCTGGCTTTTAATAGCCTGTTACTTAAATATAAAAAAAAATAGTTGTTATGCTGATATTATATCTTATTTCCCTTATATGCGTTATATTCAATTTTCATATTTTAAGTTATACAATGATACATAATACTGCATAAAACATAATAAAAGATAATTTAAGCAATTTCTGAGCTAGTTTATGACAATCTTACAGTCTAAACTTTATATCAATGATATTTGAAATATATCGTAAAGAAATGCACTTACTAATAGTTTATCGCAAACTGTCTTAATCACGATAATCTAGTGATTATACAATTGTTTGCATTTTATAAAAATACTGCACAGTTGAGATATATATGTACATATCGTAAAGTAGTTTTATTTATTTTTCATTTGCATAAGAAACCTTGCTGTGATGTCAGCGTAATGCAGAAAGCAACTACAATAGAGATCGTTTAAAAGATTGTAATAAAGGCGGTAATAAATGCCATCGCATTACCATAAGAAGTACAAACTTGTTAGTCCGGAAACGACACATGTGATAGTCTTCTGTTATGCTAATAAAAATAGATTATTAAACCCGATAAATATTTTAAATATGAGAATATTGCGTTAATTAAATATGTGTATGCTTAATTTAATTTAACGTAACATTTGCATAAATTTAAGATCAATTTGATTTCAATTTATTATACGTGATTAAAGTTACTCCAGCGAATATATATCATATGTCGATAGCATAACAGATACAGAATATTATTATAATTTAATTTATATTCATATTCATTTATATGAGCAATTTAGATAACGTTTATGTTTCTATCATTTGTCACTTTACAAGTATACGAAACGAACGCTGTATGTAAATAAATTTTCTAAAAATGCAATTAGTACTCTTCTCTGAGGCACTTTTTTATATAACACTAGAAATCTCCTCGGACATAAAAATACATTTTTTTTCTACTTGGTCTATCTCATCGTCCCCTTTATCCCTCACTCGATACACGAAGATAAAATATTGCGAGCGAGCATATTAAGGCTGACGAGCACGTTTTTGTGTCGCAATTCCGATCGACTTTTAAACGACAGTTCGTAAGTATATGTTTTGACAGATTATCACAACGTGGTTATATCATATTTCAGTCATTTGCATTATTATACTTTAATTTACTATACTTTAATACACTTGCATGTATAATAGGCTTTAATTATGTAAGTATATTAACACCTATCAAAAGTTCATTCTAAGATTTATCTAATTAATTCATTAATCTATTTCAAAGCAACGAATCTATCTACAATCTATAATCTACAATCTACATTCTACAATCTACAATCTATAAATCCGTTGCCTCAAATTTAAATAAAAGTTTTTCTCACTTCCCGACACCGATGCACAACAGCGGAGTATTCTCAATATTCAAGCTACGTCGTCTGTAACATATAAATATAAAATCTAACAATAAGTTATAGCCAGAGTTCAAATAATTACTATTTCAAAAAATTATTATTAAACGCGCCGAACTTTATAGCTTATGTAACTGAGAAGATCTAATGTTTTAAATCAGTTCAGTGGTTTCTGAGATTATTCCGAACAATGGAATAAACAAACTTTATCTCTTTATAATTAAATTAGTATAGATTAATATTAGAGAATAGCTATGTAATGCTGAAACAAATTTTTCTCATTATTTATTTGACGCAGTAACAAATTTAATATATTTCTCATTTTCGATGCATCTACGCGTAAGAAGAATATAAATTAAGATGTGTGAATATCTAGTGATAAATAACATGCTCGTAACCTCTCGTAATTTGACGAAAATCATCTAGAGATCTCTCTTCTCGCAGTCAAGAATGATTAACGATATTCAAAACAAAATCAGCTCGACTTCAAAATAATGAGGCTTGCTAAATCACGGAAGTGCAGAAACCGGTTCATTCGGATGAGATTGGCAGTTTGCTGATATTTCCCTTACTCATGTCTTAGCACGAACTCGCATCAAATGTCAATTCACGATACATTTTTTAAACATATTTAAACATTATTAATCTCATTTTTCAAAAATTTAGATTCTAATTAATGTCTCAAAAATAGAGTGTGTATGTGTGTGTGTTGTGTGGATAGTTACATATATTTCGTCATATATGTATACGTATAAAAAATCTATATATGACGAGAATAAAACTTTTTTAACAAAGTATATAATTATATTAAACAATACGCAGTCGTTAAGGTCATTCATTAGTACACATATCTACTCGACGTTGATGCATGATCGCGAAAGTGACCTGAGTACTTCAAGCTTATGAGTTAGACGGCGCTCTCGATACGTTAAGCAATATAAAGCGTACAACTCAGAAGGATTGAAGTTTTCGAAACGTGCAAATGTTCAACGACCAAGGATAATAATCCCGAGTGCAGTAATGATTCATCTAGAACAGCGACTGACCGGCAAGGTGCAGTAGACAATGAATCAAACTGCAGATTTGTTCACAAACTACCTATTATTCGAATACGTTTCTTGAGAAAAATTTACTAAATTCGATTTATTTCTTCAGCGTGAGAAAGTCATGGTCATCGATCCAAGTCATTGTTTTAGCAAGTATATTCGTGTTATTTCAATATAAATTTTACACTAAATAATTTTCATTAACTACAAATAAATGTGCTTTTTTATAATATATAATTATTGTTCTAATTTGTTATTTGTTGCATTGTGTGCACAATTTCAGCAATATAAAAACTAAATTAATAAAGATATATTTCTGAACTTTTTTCTACATATATGTATATATATATATATATATATATATATATATATATATATATAACATATATATCAATATAATGAGAATAGTAATAATAATAATAGTCCGTGATAAATAAAAATTTCAATCTATCGATCGATCATCACGCATTTCCCGATTATATATCTGCAATTAATCATAGAACAGTCTGCTGATAATGAGTGCTTCAGTAATGACACTAGCATTGTGGCTAATTATACAATCGGCAGCTCATCTATGTAATCAATAGTGCGGAACGTATGTCTGTAATTGTACTCATAATTTCCGTATATTAGTTTTTTGATCGATGTTCCTCCAATCATTTCGGTTTATCATTAATAGGAAACAACCATGTAAGACAATTGCAAAATGTGTGCTTATTGATAATAAATTAATGTTTAAGAATAATCAAGTTTTGAAGAAAAGTTTATATCGACTAAAACTACAGCTCTTGAGTTTATCTTTTAACTTATCCGATGATTAAATTTTGAGATCAATATCGCGAAAGTATCACAAGACCTGTTTCTGAATCTAATAAATCGGTAATTAATCTATATATAATATAATAAATTGATTCAACACATACATCATTAAAAAAAGCATGAAAAACGTAGCAAGTTAAATAATTATTAATTATAATTAATTTTCATAAATTGAAAAACACAAAACAAAAATTCATGACAAACTGTGAGTGTAAGGATTAACTCTTTAAATTGTCATATTTCAAGATGTGAAATATATTAATTTTTCTTGCACAGGAGAGATTAACTCTAAAAATGTAATATTCAATATTTTTCATATTATTACATGCATACAATTTCTTATCTTCTTCTGTTTTAAATGAAATTTATGTTTCATATTCTTGTATTCTTATGACCATTTTGTTTCGTCTATTAATTATTCTCACAAATAATATTTATAAACAACAATAAATTTTTAAATTAACATAATTTTAACATGTAAAATACGTTTTCTAATTTTGTCTTTATAATATTTATATATAATATTGTCCCTTGCATATTTCAATTATTTTATATATTTTAAAAAGTACAATTACAAATAATATTCCTTATTAATATAAAAAGAAAATAATTTCTATATGTGTCATGAAATTTCACGATTGTCCGCGATGCTTCATGATACGTCCAGTGACGTATACATGAGAACTGTATAGAATCCCCTCTTTCAGAAAAGGTGCTTTCATGCGCACGTATAAAGCCAGTGAAAGCGCCAGGCGGCCCTCCAGACTAGCGCACAGTCCGACAGCGACAGGAGCTCTGCGAGCGTATTGTACGGCGGATTTAGATTAACAATACCTGAGAATCTCTCACATAAATTGACACGTTGAAGTAAGACAATTTAAAGAACTAAACGTCGTGTGCCTTATCCATTTACGTGTTCACGAATTTCCGTCGACTTTTTCGAATTGTGATCAGGATAGATTACGTCGAGAGTGACCATGAAGATGCATCTCGTTGGAATCTTAGCTATCCTGTTAATCATCGATACCGAGATTTTAGGACACCCGTCGCAAGAGAGACTAATGCCAGGTATTTAATGTTTCGGATATGCACATATTTTGCATCTATTGCACGCACATAATTTTTCATCTTTTTTCATTTCTGTTTAATTGACATTCATATCTTGCATTATGATTACTTTGCTTTAAAAATTATTCTAAATAATATTATATGTATATATAAATTAAAAATAATGCATATTAAACTTTATACAAATATGTAGTATCTTATATTAATAAATTGATCTGTGTTTTCTCTAATATCTTTTATGAAAAGTTAATTTAATAAAGGTGCATTTCCGTTATACAAATAAAATTATTAACACACACACACACACACACATATATATATATATATATATATATATATATATATTTATATTATAAAATACAAGTTATAAAAAAGATCATACTTTTATCTTGTCTTTTGCGTTACTAATGAAATTAAGCGGCAAAATGTAATAATCTTAAAGTGTTCTTATGTGTGTATCGACTTAAAGTTCATGGTTGAAACTTGCACAATGCATCAATAATGCAGTTCGCAATGAAGCATGTTCGAAGATATTATTCACGATTTTGTATAAATATATAGTTACATTTTTATATGTATTTTCAACAATAGAGGACAAATTATCTACATATACGATTAATCTTTTCGATAAGTTAATACATTTTATTCTCATTAAACTTTTTACATAAAAAAATGCAAAAGTAAATTCTTTAATTTACCTTTTAAAAGAAACAATATTAAACAATGTTGTACATCTTTTATATATATAAACTGCTGACTATAATACATTAGCATTCTGTAATAATTACAGAATATTTTTTATAGGGTCTGATACACATCAAGCCTATTAAACCGATGATGAAAAAATTCCATTTCAAGTATCATATTTTTTTGAGAATAATATCTGCTGCTTTTTTCTTTTTATTTTGCTCTATCAAGGTAATTACGTCTGGCTCTATCCCGTACAATTATGTCTCCACCCTCTCTATATCCTTCGTTTGCGAAAGTGGAACACTTCCTTCCACAGATGCTAATTCTGATAACCTCGGAGAGTGTGCCGTCTTTCTGAAACGTGACAGCACTCAAAAACGTTACAGTTCAGATTTTTCGCTTCTGTCACAATTCCATGAAGCCATCTTTTCAACTTTTTCATATCTTTTCATTCTCATATTGCTTTGTATTTAAGACTCTAACATTTGTCGACTAAACATCGGTAAAATAGGTATTACAACACGTGTCATTCAAACGCATGAGAGCTGCGAAAAGGCCTGTAAACGGCTGTCTACATAAGCACGTGAGTCTGGCTCGTCATTAACTACGCTCACGAGATTCGCCGCCTACGCGTATATATATGTTTATCGTCGTCGTTATATGCGAATACAACGGCCTGCAAGGACTACAACTTTACTGCATTTTTTTAGAAATATTGACATAAAAGCAGGATTGTCAAGTATAGCGGGAATCACGCAGTGATCGAAAAGTACCATTTTAAATAATCAAGACATTCGTTTTCTAAAAAATAAATTTTTTAATTTGTTATAAAAAATATATTTGATAACACTCAAATATTATGAATGCATAACTAATCTTTCAGATTATTAGGAGATTGTTAGAAATACCTTTTGGATTTATATTAGATATTAAAAGGAATATGACAAAGAAATGTCAAATTTAATAAATTCAATTTTACATATAAAATTAATTATGTATTCAATATTCGTTCTTTGTACAGGTTGTCCCTGATTCTACATACTTTTTTCTATGGATTTTTCAAAAATTTAAAATTTATTTTTTAAAGATAATTTTTAAAATTTTCTAAAATTTTGATTGTTTATAACTTAAAAATAATACACACACTCTGTCATCCTTGTTAAAAAAAATAAATTTTTAATTAAAGTTCATAAACGAACGAAACTATACAAAATTTAAAATATTCTGTACGTAAGTTACGTTCATACTTTTATAAATTGACTTTATAGCGAAATTAATTATGTTGCAAATACAATCTCGCAATCATTTAATAAACTATAGCATTAAGGGTTCACACCTACATGTGTATCACGTATTATAGATCAATGCCGTTGTATAGATGCCAGGACATGGACGATAATAATAATTCCTATATCGGCGCGCAAAAGTATCACGTGCCGCACGTGATTGCATATGCTTTTGCACGTGCCGGTTATTGCCGATCAGTACAAACGCAAGAAAGACAGAGAAAGAAAGTCACGCTTGTATGCCTTTCCTCGTACGGATTAATGCCATCGAGGGAAAAGTCTGATCGAGTCACGTGCACGCGCCCAGCCACTCACTTCGAATCACGCGACCATTCGTTCTGTCAATTAAGCACTGCGCGATGTTTTTTCAGCTCTTGTATGTACATACACCACCGGTCCATAGCAAGGCCAGCATAAAACTCGTTTGTGTCGATTCCTCCGTGTGATATTTTTATTATGTTCGCAAAACTAAAGTTTGCGATGGTATTGTAATGACTCAATTCAAATTGCTATCAAAGAATTGCAAACGGTGTACCATTATTTGAAATTCTACTCTTGAAGAGAGATCTAAAGAAGATCGAATCTCTCTTTTACATCTTACTCTTTTCTGACGGACTACTTATTATGACGTGTGAGAGAAAGTGCGAATGAAAGTAACTTTTCTGGGAAAAATAAGATTCTGTGTTCCGACATTGACATTGTGTATCTTAAATTAGCCTTGTATAAGCAACTAACTAATAGTAGTTAAAAAAATAATATAGTCGCACCTCGTTAAATCTATTTGCTAATATAGGAACGGAGAAAGTATGAGAAATTCGAGTGAGATTGCAGTGTATCGAATAATGATATTCTCACGGCAAAAATAATATGAAGGCGACATAATCTATCATTGACCCTGATTCGATTTCTTGTATCTAATATGCTGGTAAAGAGTTAATATTCTTTATAAGATGTTCAGAGAATTAATTAGTGCATGAATAATATAAATATTTAAACACTCTGAGATATCGTGTTTGATCATATCTCAATGATTGCAACTTCGACTGATAAATTATTCTCCGCAGTTTTTCTGATCAGCTAATATAAAAAATTAAGATATTGTAATTTAAGCATATCCAAGAGGATTATAATTTTATCAATATTCTTTCTTCATTATACTGTCATACTATTTTTATTGGTTATAAATATTTGCAAATGAGCCATTAGTAAAACCGCAAGTTTGTTACGCGTTAAAGTTCCTTGATTTTACTGCAGACAAAAATGATTGATGCGTCATTAATTGGTATGCAAGATGCAATTATATATGTCCAATAAATATAAAGCACATGTTGCACCGCAAAAGTAAGTTATGTAAGAAATTGTCAGAAAAACATGCGTACGATAAAAGTGAGCGCGTAGACTATAATTAAATTGACCTTCCATTTTTCGGGTAATTTTATTCTGATAAAAAAATTGTCAAGATTGTAGTCTATTTTTACATATTTTTAATAAGTCATTTTTTTTTAATTAAAGGATAAAAATATGTTTTTTATATTTTCTATTAGATTACCATAATAAATCGACAAAATATAATCAATCTTAAAATATTAATTGTACAGCATTAGATTTTTTCTTAACGATCAAGTTTTTGATATAAAGAAAAATTACGATTTTAGTGACACTTTAGTGAGCAAAAACGAGTAATGGCTATGATCAAAGGATTTATTAAATTGCTTACATCTACCGTCTCTGTTAATAATATCCAGCTAAATTCATTGGCGAATGCCAGTTCTCTCTTTCTCAGTTCAACTTTCCACGATTCATGATCATGATCTGATACCCATGGGATTTTTAAGGCACCTGCTAACTACCGTTCTTTTATTGGTGGCAACAAGTATGTGAATTTGAACGTCAACTTTCTACGGCAGTTTGACCATAATCAATGTTATTAGTATCGATGTAGTGCACGCCCGCTGTCAAACAGATTTACGGTAATACGTATATGTTAATTAAGCCGGCACAGAAAGGACCCCCAAAGGACCGCGTGATTCAACTTAATTCGAGCAATTAACATTGTTAAACTGTCATTGCTTCAACTGTGCAGTGATTGATGGTGCATTTTAAGGTGGGGACCGACTCCGTCTCGTTCCCCTTTGCTGTTATAGTTTTTTTTGTGTTATCGTAAGAACAGTAAATTCTTTCTCAGCAATTATTAAGTCGCGATTGATCCATCGTTACCCATTGCACCGCAAGCTAACCCTCTTTCTTTTTTTCTACTATATGTTTGTGAAATCGGTATACGAGAAAATCTAATAGAAAGTTTATTTCACTTGAATTTGAAGTGAATAGGGGAACAGCAAAAATAATTCTTTTTACATACATTGCGATGAATAATTTACAATATACATACATATATGTATAACTAAAATGCATCTTATTAAGGTCATTATGTGCATATTAACAAGCTTGATTGTTTCAGTTTAATTTTATCTGTTATATATTGCATATGTATACACATTAAATACATTATAATTTTTTAAAAATAATTTAAAGTACAATTTTGTACCAATTATTTTTTATTAGTATTAGAGAATAAAACAATCGTCTTTTATTTTTTTACTATTTTATCGGTAATTAATTGGCGATGAAAGTACTTATTTGCATTTATAGAAATAAATAAGAATAAGGTATGTTTGATTATTCTGTCTAAAAACTACATATAAAATTTACATATTAACATTTAAACACATATCCAAAAATATGCGGATGATTTTCTATATAAATCTGATTTTAATTTATGGAAAATGAAAAAAAAATCGCTATGTACTTCTTATACTACTAGACTATAAAGTGCAACAGTGTAATAGAAATTTCCGCAATAAACGCATTTTATTCTTGTTCTCCTTTATGCAGAATTCACGTGCACGAGAGCGTGGCGGTCGGCGTACTGTCCGATGCACGTGACAAGCGGTGCAATACGCTGCATGTAGTCACGTGCATCAACCGAGCGCATTACCGTCGCGCTATGATAAGCTAACAATAAGT